TCTTCTTCTTCTTCTTCTTCTTCTTCTTCTTCTTCTTCTTCTTCTTCTTCTTCTTCTTCTTCTTCTTCTTCTTCTTCTTCTTTGGTTTTTCAAGACAGGGTTTCTCTGTGTAGCTTTGGTGCCTATCCTGGATCTCGATCTGTAAACCAGACTGGCCTCAAACTCACAGAGATCTGCCTGGCTCTGCCTCCTGAGTTCTGGGATTAAAGGCGTGCGCCACCACTGCCCAGCTGATATTCTACTTCTAAAAGTCCTAAAGACACATAATGACAACATACCAAAGCAATGCTCAGAAACCTTTGCAAAAACCTGGAAGCAGCTAGTGTCCCTCAGTAAGAGAATGGGAAAGTTAACTGTATATCTCTACAATGGAATGCTGTGTGGCTGTTTAAAAGAATGAAGTAGATCTGTGTGCTGAGGTGTGGAAATTCTCTGTATAGAGTGGTGAAAAAAGGCAAGATTCCAGCCAGTAAACTGCATCCTTTCCATTGTGCATGTGGAGAGTGTGCATACAGGAAACCTCACAAGAGAGAGTAGAGAGCCTCAACAGCAGCAACAAAGAATATTAGTGTCTTGATGTGTGGAAGTGCACCCCCTAGGTGAAGTGCCCGAGGAGGCCAGAAGAGGACTCGACGTCAACTGTAACTTAATGATACTGGTTTGAAGGAGGAAAGCTCCCAAGAATGTGGCTATATAACAAAGCTGTTTCCAAACGAGGAAGGAGAGGAGGAAAAGAGAGACAGGGAAGAAGGAAGGATGCAGGCATGTCTGGTCAACGCTGCTTCTGATGTTCCCGAGGAGACACTCATTCTGAGCCCGCCCTGGGTCAAGAAAAAGTGCATTTTCAGGGGTTAAATAACCCCACTTTCTTGCAACCTGACCCACAGATCTCTTTTCTCTTGTCTGGGGCTTGGGTGGCGTGTTTATTTTTCACTCATCTAACGATATTCTGATGACATGTTACATAAACTTCGTTCTTTAGAAGTTATGAATGCCAGACTTCCAGGGGTCGCGGGGGCAAATCCGAATTCAGGTGTCTGTCTCCCATGTAGGTTCAGGGTTTGGAGCTGCCACTAAAGCAATGTGCATTGGGATGCGGTACTGGAAGCCAGAACGGCTGGAGACCCTTATTGAAGTCAGCATTGAGTGCGGCAGAATGACCCACAACCATCCCACAGGTAAAGCGGGTGCTGGACGGACGTGAGTCCTGTGAGGATGATGTTCCACCTGGAAGCGGAATTGTCATTAAGTGTGGTGATGAAGAAGCCACACACGGGGGGGGGGGGGAGATACTCATTGTCCCTGTATCGTTCATGTCAGAACAAAAGAGAAGAGAGGTATAGGTCTTGAGGGGAACCGGACTCCAGGCTAAGTAGGTGTCGGAGTCAGTCCCGTGGGCTGCTGCCCTTCTCCACGGTTGGGCGCCACTCACTACAATCAATCCACGTGACTCTGTTAAATGGGTAACAGAATTTATTAAGATATAAATTGAGGAAATACACTCACGATTACAGAACGGAGTAGACCATAGAAGTCATCCTCTGATCTGACCAGAGCCAATCCATTTCACAGGCCGGAGGGTCACATGACCCTTCTCCAACCCCTTAAAAGAGGTTATGTACAGTGGCAAAAAGCACCACCTCCTTTGGGCCGTATAGCCCAAGATCATGGGCGGAGAAAATACCACCATATGGCCTATGCTTCTCTGCTTAGTCTCCAGGTCCTGTAGCAGCCCCCAAAAGGTGAGTGTCTTGATTCTTCTACAAAGAGAGAGGCAGGGGGCTGGAGAGATGGCTCAGAGGTTAAGAGCACTTCTTCCTGAGGTCCTGAGTTCAATTCCCAGCAACCACATGATGGTTCACAACCATCTGTAATGAAATCCGGTGCCCTCTTCTGGCCGGCAGGGATGCAGGCAGACACACTGTGTGCATAACTAATAAGTAAATATTTTAAAAAAGAGAGAGAGGCAGAACTCACAGCTCTGGGGATGGTCTGTTTGAACTCCGAAAGCCACCGGCCCAGGTAGCAGAGCTCTCTCTCTCTCTCTCTCTCTCTCTCTCTCTCTCTCTCTCTCTCTCTCTCTCCTCTTGCTCTCTAGGTTTCCTTGGGTCCCTGTGCACTGCTCTGTTCGCCTCTTACGCAGTGCAAGGCAAGCCACCTGTACAGTGGGGAAGAGATATGCTGAAGGTGCTTCCGCTGGCTGAGGAGTATTGTAGGAAGACCATCCGGCACATGGCAGGTGAGCTGTCTTCCGGCCCCACTGCCTTCCACTCACCAGAGCACATGTGCTCACATGCCAACTCCAGTCCTGCCCTGGCTGCCCAGCAGCTCCAGGGGTTCACCCAGAGGCAACGCCTAGAGAAGCCCTCGGTCAGTCTAGGGAGAGCTGACTTCACAAAGACCCTCACCTGGCAGAGAGCAGACACCTGCTCCAAGTGGTACCAGGACTTCAAGGAGAACACAGCCACATGGGTGGCTTCCTCCCCAGCAGCCTGAGACACCCACACCCTCCCCATGTCCAAGCTGACACCAAGCGTCCAGTGCAATAGAGAACTGTCTCTGCATTCACAGAGGATTGCATCAACTTCACACATTTCACACAGCCACACCCTAACCTGCACTTGGCCAAAGAGATGTACCCTGGGGCTGGAGAGATGGCTCAGAGGTTAAGAGCACTGGCTGTTCTTCCAGAGGTCCTGAGTTCAACTCCCAGCAACCACATGGTGGCTCACAACCATCTGTAATGAGATCTGGTGCCCTCTTCTGGCATGCAGGCATACATGCAGACAGAACACTGTATACATAATAAATAAATCTTTAAAAAAAAGAGAGAGAGATGTATCCCGTGCCACACACTTCTGTATGTAGCAAGATGGGTCCCCATGCCATGAGTCCCCAGAGACCACTAAGGGCATGTGCTCCCAAGGTTTCCATCTGCTCTCATTAACCCAGAGCCTGTCACTTTTTGGACATGGTCAGCCTGTTACTCAAAAATCCCAGGAGCACTATGGCTTTCAAGGTTCGGACACACAGCAGCAAAGTACACCCCACCCTCCCCGACTGGACTCAGGAGTGTTGTGCAGCAGACATCCGGGTTCAGGAGCCCGGATGCAGGAGCAGGAAACCCAGGGCTCACTCCCCAAGTCACTGAGCATACGGAAGACCTCTTACCCCGGGTGGTTCTCCACTCTAAGAGGGATGTGTGTGAGTGGGGAGTGCGGGTGATGCCGTGTGCCTGCTGTACGCCTAGGTAGGAGCAAGCTTTCTAAGATAAGCCATCCAGAAAGGGGGATGTGAGCCCAGGGCCAAGACTGCTGCTTCCCCAAAAGAGCGTGAAGCTGAGTGACCCTTGAGAAGTTCCAAGCATCCCATCAAAGTCATCACAAGATGTGGGGGTGGGACATGTTCTAGAGGATTCCAGAACAACTTTACAAGGAAACATAGCACACAGGATACCCACGTGGCCTCAGCACTGAAGGAAATTGGGCCTAAAGGATGGTGCCGGGCATTCTAGCTAGCTCATCTCTGGACTATCCGTCCCTCACTTACTTGGCCTTCATGGAACATTTATTTAATTTATTTTTGCTCAGTTTAAACCATCATTTCCTGGTTCCTCTGTCTCAAGTGGGCTCAGATGTCTCCTGAAGGTCCCCCAATACTGCCTACAGTCAGTGGGCTGTTTCTCTCATCTTAGCAGGGTCACCAGATGCCTCCCAAGACTGGAAGGCAGTTGCTGTGATAGAGCAGACACTTACAGCACCACATTCACATTGCTAAGGGACAGCCAAGGACTCCAGAACCCAGGGGGCTATTGTTGGAAGTGTGCCCTCCGTGAGGGCATGAACCTGAGAACAGAATCCACGGCCAGGACATTTGGGGAATTAACTCTTTCTGGGAGGTGACCCCTGAGAATCAGTCCTGTTATAACTGGAGTCTGAGGGGCTCCTTGGACGCAGAACTTTCAAAGGAGCTTACGCTCACCCAGAAAGAGATGTTCTGTAAACATCCTTGGAGAGTGTCCCCTGGAGCGCCCTCTTTGAGGGGCAGCTGGAATACTCAGACAGACCTTGCTGGTCCTGGGCTCCGGGTCTGGAAATCTCACTGCCAAACTGCCCTCCCCTGCTCCCTGGGTAGAGGCCGTGCTGGGCCCCTGCTGCCCCACACAGGCATTTCACCTTTAGTGGTATTCAAGCAGACAGTGTTTCAGCGTTGTGAAGCCCAGCAGGTCCAGATGTGCCAATCCAGGAAGCTGTCCCAGCACCTCCTGGCTTCTCCGCTGCAGCCTCTGCTCACCTCCCTGTAGCCCCGAACTCTCTCTGCTCCGTCCCCTGTCCAGCCAGAGACAGACAAGATCCAGGGTCCAGATTGTTTTTGTTTGTTGTTTGTTTTTTTTTGGAAACAGGGTTTCTCTGTGTAGTTTTGGAGCCCATCCTGGATCTCGCTCTGTAGACCAGGCTGGCCTCAAACTCACAGAGATCCGCCTGGCTCTGCCTCCCGAGTGCTGGGATTAAAGGCGTGCGCCACCACCGGCCGGCTTAGGGTCTCGATCCTCATCTTCAGCTGTGGCCCCAGACCTTACCAGCCCCTAAAGGCCAGGGCATCCCCATCCTCTGTTGCCTCCAGGGGAGGACAAGCTGTGACCCTCCCAGAGCAGGCACCTCCATTTCCTGCTGCCCCGAGTCTCTGGAGAGCTTGGTCCTCTGTAAGATGAGTGGCCGCTGGCCACTGCCCAGCCAGGGCCCTCCTCATCAGATATGCTGGCCAGAGGTGCTGCAGCCTGCTTGCGGCTTGGGTTGCAGGCTATCAGTAATAATGAGACTTCTCCCCTTACTGTGCAGGCCCAGGTTTAATCTCATCAAAATACAGAATTCCCTGCTGATTTCACTTTGGATTTCTGGGTTTCTTTTGCTTGGGGAATTTTTCTTTGTTTCTTTCTCTTTCTTTTCTTCTTCAATATCTTATGCATGCTAGGCAAGCACTCTTAACCCTGAGCTACATCTCCAGACCTAATTAATTAAAACTATAGGCTCATAATTGTCCTGTGGCCACCTTCTGCTTTAGAGACAGTTAAGTAACTGGCACTATATTACTTCCTCCCATCTTCTACGCTGCTGCTGGAAGCGGCCATGCCTACTGGGCTGCTTATTTTGGGCACAGGACCTCCATCCCCCACACCTGCCTTGGGGAGAAGGCACTGCCCACCTCCCCCTTCCCCATACCCACCTCCGCCAGGCACCATCAGCTCACCCGCCCTGTGCTTGCGCCTAGAGTACCAAGAGCACTGGTTTTACTTTGAAGCAAAATGGCAGTTTTATCTGGAGGAGAGAAAAATCAGCGAAGACACAGAGAACAAAGCCACCTTCCCCGACAACTATGACGCAGAGGAGAGAGACAAGGTAAGTCCAGCCCCAGGCCTGGGCTGTGCCTGTGCCCTGTGGAACTCAGCCAGGGCGTAGTGAATGGGTGAACAAGACCGGTGGGTGGATGGCAGGCACAGGGACGGACCTGGATCTTTTTGCCAGGCACACACTGACCCACGGTTCTCTTCAGACATACAAGAAGTGGAGCTCAGAAGGCCGAGGTGGGCGGCGCGGCCACGATGCCCCCATGATTGCCTACGATGCCCTCCTTGCTGCAGGGAGCAACTGGTCCGAGCTGTGCCAGCGGGCCATGTTTCATGGAGGTAAGATGTCCTCCTCTGTGGTGGATACACCCAGAAGGTACGGACCCTGTGCCCTGGAGCACTCCTCAGTGTTTGGGATCCACAGACGTGGGCTTCAGCCACAGACCCAGAACACCGGCCCATCTCCATTGCCGGACACACTCTGGAGTCTCGACTGCAGTACACATGCCAGCATCAGGACCACAGACACAGTTGCAGTAACCTACATTGGCATGGCCCACAAGCCTGCCGGTCTCACAGGTGACCACCGTCAGGACAGTGACCAGGTGCAGGGACTCCTCTTTCTTTGGTTTTTCAAGACAGGGTTTTTCTGTGTAGCTAAGAAGCCTTTCCTGGAACTCACTCCGTAGCCCAGGCTGTCCTCGAACTCACAAAGATCCACCTGCCTCTGCCTCCCGAGTGCTGGGATCACCACCACCACCCGGCTGACTCTTCTCTGTCTAGCTGCTCACTCAGAGCTGGCAGGTCTCCCTCAACCCAACTACACAGGCTCCTCCCTCCTGCAGGTCTGCAGCCTGTACAAAACCACAGCATTTATAGCCCTGCAAGCAGGGATCGAGTGAATGCAGAATGTCTGGAATTCATTCGCCTGAGGCAGGCTGTGAGACCAAGCCGGTACAAGGTGCCCGGCATGGCCTAGAGAGGCAAGGTGGACTTGGATGGCTGAGAGAACCTGACAAGGGTATCATTGCTCTTGAGTTGCCTCTGACCAGTGTCCCAAAGCAAATGCATCTTGGTGTGGTTGAGTGTGTGGCCAGAGCCCTAAGCTGCCAATGGAAGGTTCTATGTGGGACCAGAACTTTGTTCCACAAGCCATGTTGTGTCCCTCAGCATTCTCTCAGCTTTCCTCTGAGAATGGACAGCTGGAGTCAGAGCCATCCTGGAAGCAGGTTTTACTGGAAGGAGAGGAAGAACAGTTGTGGGAACTCAGCCTAGAATGGCTGTTTGTCGTCCCACTGTTTCCTGGATATCCATGTTCAGGCCTCTCCCAGGACCAGCACCCAGGTCTCTAGGTACATCTGTGCCAAGAACAACTACCCTGACTTCCGCCTCTGTCGACCATTGTGGCCCTAGCCTCATCCAATCCAGTTGCTCTCCCCATTATGTGTGTGTGTGTGTGTGTGTGTGTGTGTGTGTGTATGCATGTGATAGCACATGAGAGTGTGTCTGAAACATTACCAGGACTCAGAAGCAGCTTGGAGTCAGAGGTCATGTGGGGAGGAATCAGAGGCAGTTCCAAGGTCCCCAGCCAAAGAGATGGGGGCCACAAGACTTGAAGATCACAGCTCAGCTTTTTTTTTTTTTTTTTTTTTAAGAAATGGCAAATTCATGAAGTTTTAGACAGTGCATCTGCACACTCAACTGTGCTCATCTCACGGATGTTTAAAACTTCCTGAGACTGCAGGAAGCAAGTGACCCTGAAATTCTGAAAAGCAGGCAGGCCGTGGATCTGGGGATGTAGCTCAGCTGGCAGAGTACTTGCTTAGCATGAATGAGGCCCTGGGTTCGATCCCCAGCCCCCCACAAAAAAACAGACATAGTGTCACATACATGTAATCCAAGCACTTGGGAGATGAGAAAGGAGGATCATAGGTTCAAGGTCATGTTTGGCTGCATAGTGAGTTTGGGGGTAGCCTGGATCACATGGGACTCTGTCTCCAAAAACAAAAAAGGTGTGTCAGGTGGTGAGGACGTGGCTCAGCAGATAAAACCAGAGTGTAATTCCAGGATATGGTAGAAGCAAAGAGCCAGCTCCCACGCCTACCCAAACCTTCACACAGGCACTGTGGCAGAGACACACTCACATACACACAATAAATAAGTGTACTAAAGTCTTTTAAAAACTGGAGAAGGGAGGTCAGCGGAGCTTAGTCGGTACAGTGCTCACCTAACGTGCACTAAGTCCTCGGTTCAATCCCCAGCACCTCAGAAACTGGGTGTGGTAGTGGCACGTGCCCACATGCCCAGTATTAGGAAGGCAGAGTCAAGACGATCGGGAGTTCAAGGCTAGCTTTAGCTTCATAGTGAGATCGAGGCCACCCTGGGCTGCGAAAGACCCTGACTCAAAAACAAACAATGGAGAGATGGGCCCGCAGTTAAGGGAGTTCAGTTTCCGGCATCCAGCTAGTAACTCACAACCATCGTGAACTGTAGTTCCAAGGCCTTTGATGCCCTCTTCTGGCCTCCATCAGCAACAGACACACATCTGGTGCACACATGTTCATGCAGGCAAAACACTCACACACATAAAATAAGAATAAGTATTAAAAAAAAAAAAAAAGTCGGCTGTGGTTGGCTTGAATGCACGCCAGAGATGGAAAGGCAGTGAGCACACAGTTGTCAGAAATTGGGGGCAGCCCAATTTTAAGGACAATTTTATGAATATTTCTGAGGTGGGTAGCTTATTTGTGGAGTAAGATCACTCTCTCCTCCCAGTCATGATGGGCCAGATCTCCCTTTTAGAATATTTCTTCCCACAAAGGGTGGATGAAAAGCACGGTATAACGAAGCCAAGTTCACGTGTGTGACAGTTGGGAATGTGCCCTGGTGCCTGCGTTTCTGATACGGAGGAACAAGCTAACTGCTCGTCAAGCTTGCGTGACCACAAAGGGGGTCTGACCATCAGGAGACAGCTGCCTCGTGCAGATCCATTTCCTTGGTAACCTCTCATATAACTCCTTTATGAGGTTGCTCAAAGATGGATCCCATGGCTGTTAAGAAACCTGAGGCTTGATTATGGACGCTGAGGCCAGACTTTTTTTTTTTCTTTATTAAGAAATTTTCTACTCACTCATGCTATCCACAGACCCCCCTCCTCCCTCATCTCACCCCCCAGACCTCTTTCCCAAGCCCCACCCCCTGCATCCCCACATCCCTCAAATCGAGGTCTCCCATGGGGAGTCAGCAGAGCCCAGCACACTGAGCCTAGGCAGGTCCAAGCCCCTTCCCACTGCACCAAGGCTGTGCAAGGCATCACACCACAGGCACCAGATTCCCAGAAGCCTGCCCATGCACCAGGGATGGATCCCAATCCCCCTGCCTGGGTGCCCCCGAAACAGTTCAAGCCAAACAACCATCTTCTGTGTCCAGAGGGCCAATCCAGTCCCACGGGGGCTCCACAGCCACCAGTCCACAGTTCATGGGCTTCCACTAGCGTGAGGCCAGACTTTTTCAGGTTCCCAGGCTGTGCAAACAGGAACAGGGCTTGGGCTATCCGTTAGGACTCCACTCTCCCAGCTTCGCTACTTACGACTGTCTGACTGGATTGGTTTGTGGCGGTTAGATGTCACCTGAATGGGGAGAGAAGGGAAGCAGCTGTAGAGCAGAGAATGGCCTCGTGCTGAGAACTGTGGCTGCCTCAGAGGCGGGCAGCCTAGGGGACGGGTCCTGTTGGGTTGACGTAGGGTACTGTGAGGTAGGCCCTGGCTGGCCTGGTACCAACTTCCTGGCCCAGGCCTTGAACTCATGTCGATATACCTGGCTCAGTCTCCTGAGTACTGGGATTACAACACGTCCACCACTACCCCCCTCTTCTCCAGGATAGTCTCAGAGATATGAGTGCAGCAGGCTCAGTCAGCGGGACCCCCCACCACCACCACCACCCCGCCGCCACCCCCGCCGCCCCCCAGGACACACTTGCGTTTGCCGTTTCAGGCGAGAGCGGAGCCACGGGGACCATCGCCGGCTGCCTGTTCGGGTTGCTGTACGGCCTGGCCACCGTGCCCCGGGGCTTGTACCAGGAACTGGAGCACAAGGGCCGACTGGAGGACTTGGGCACAGCCCTGCACCGCCTGTCCACAGAAGAAAAGTAAAGTGTTTCCGCCATGTTCCCCTCCCGGAGGGCAGCCCCTCGTGTCCACCCTCAGACTTAGAGCCTCCCCTCGAGAGGGTATGCGTGTGCAGTTTCCACACAAGGAACACGTGCCTCGTGGGCCGTGATTCAGCTGTAACTTCCCCACCCCGATTTCAAATCCCGTTCGCTGTATAAAATACATTGTTTGTCCTAAGAGAATATTTTTTTCCTCACACTCAACTGCTGCTAATGCCTTGTGTTCGCTGCACGCAAACCCCCGGAGGCTTGGTGACAAGCTGTCTCCTGGACAACTGGTGTATTTTATTCTGCTCCAAGCCCAGCAGCACTGCCCGTTCACCCCCTTGAAGAACACTAACAGCCCTGGTCCCCTCTGAGAACCGCAGCCCTTCTGCCTATTTCTACCTGCTGGCAGGCTGTGGGGGCCGGGTTCTCTCTCTCCAGCAGGCAGGTGTGTTCATGCCTCATGGGAGAGACCCTGTGCGGCTTCAAGATGTACCCAAAGCTTTCATCTAGCCTCCTTGCCATGTTTCAGTCACTGAGCCTTTACTGAAATCTTTTTGAACAACTTCCTGGGACAGCCAGGCAGCAGATGATTTCCTGGGTCATGTGCAGCATCTTCCTTGGGGTAGGTTAGATCCACGTAGGAGGAAGTCTTTAGCCACCGTGGCCTGTTCCACGGAAGCTCCCCAGGAGGGGTTATAGCTGACAGTCTGGGGAAGATGGTCACACGCTCCTCTTCCACCCGTGGCTTGACTTGCGTTTTCCCCAGTCTGAAGTCAGCCACTGTTGACGGCAGATGGCTGGCGCTGGGCCTGGCTGGTTGGTGCTGGGTTCTTCTCGTGTAAGGCCTCGTCTCTGAGGAGAGCCAACACTGTCTGCATTGAGAAGCTGGTGGGGCCCCTAGAAGCTCTGCAGGGGCTTGGGGGTGGAGGCTGGGGCAGAAAGCATCTGCCTGTTGGAATCTGCACAGCCTCCAGGGTGCAAAGTCTCCGTGGGCCTCACGGGCTTCTGTGGGATGTTGAAGGGGGTATGGGACGCCTCTCTTTTCCCGGTGATAAGATGTCCACATGGACAGCAGGACAAGAAGCTACGGGCTTTAGTGGAAAAGCCGCTGACGCAGGCTCGGGGGTGTGTTGGGACCTCCTGAAGTTGCTCTGCCCCAGGTATCCTGTTCTCCTCCTCCCCATCCTAGGGAGCTAATCCCACGGTTACGGTGAAGCCGGCATGTCTTGGGCACGGCAGTTGTTTTTGTGGAGTACCCGGCTTCCATTTTGTAGAGACGGGTGGAGTCGTGTGGTGGGCAGGTCTATGGTGCTCGACATTGAGCAGTGTGTGTGTGTGTGTGTGTGTGTGTGTGTGTGTGTGTGTGTGTGTGTGCACGCGCGCGTGCGCCATTTGATTCTGGATAACTGAACAATAAGTGAACTAACACACTTACCAATCAGAAGCAGAGAGACAGATATGGGGAAAGTCATACATTATTGTTCTTCCACCCTGCTGCTCAAGCAGCCCAGAGCAGTGGGTGTGAAGTAATGGAGGACTCTCTAGTGAACATAAACCTAGCTGGGAGGAGGTAAGTTGGAGCTTTCCCTCGGCATTTTGAGGGGCACCCTCCTGTCTCTGGTGGCCGTACCCTGCCTCTGTCCTTGATGCACAGTAGCAATGGTCCCGATAAGCAGCATGTGTACGGCAGATTAGGATGGAGGCCTACATGGGCTCCGTCTTCATTCACTAGTGGTCCCCTGTATTAATGAATGAATGAATCAGAAATTTGCAAAGCCGTTATAAATTAGAAAGCATAAACTAAGTGAGATTCACAGGCGCTATGGACGTTCCCCCAGTCTCATTTCCCTGTGACAGATAAAGTCAACGCTGAAAAGGAAGACGAAAGCTGGACGCGAGGTGCGTCCAGCGTCTCCCTGTTAGACAGGTGATGCCAGCTGGTGTATGTGGTGGTACTGTGTTCCCCAAAATATTGTGTACTCTAATAAATTTATCTGGGGTCAGAGAACAGAACAGCCACTAGATACAAAGGCTAGAAAATGGTGGCACTCACACCTTTAATCCTAGCATTCCAGAGATAGAAATCCCTCTGGATCTCTGTGAGTTC